TGTGTGTGTGCGTGTGTATTATGTGTGTGTGCCCAACAAAAGGGCCAATAATGAAATAATATTTTGGCAAAATTAATTTCGAGCTATAGAAGCCAACATAATAGATGAAGACGTGACTATAAGTTAAAGACATAGTTTCAAAATCATATTCCAAAAAGATTTATAAGTTCAACTATTTGCAAGAAGCACAAACATGAGTTTAATTTAGGTTTGGGGGATGTCTAGTGAGAAAATCTGAAATAATAAAATACAAAAACAAAAATTATCTCACCGTTTCAGACAGGTTTTATTTCTAAACAAACTCTACCAAGTCCGCGAAGAGTTGTCAAAGTGTTCATCATCATTCAGTGCCAGATCTGCGACAGAAATCGGCGATCATGGTTCTCCATTCTTTCCTTTTCTCGGATGCTCTCAAAAAAGCTACGTCTCCCTGGTCTTTCCCTGTTACCCCCATTTGTTTAGGTTCCCTAAGTATGTTGTTCTGGGCCTACCCCTGCCTCGCTTGCCCTCAATTTTGCCAGTGAGAGCTAGATGTTCAAGACCCTTATGTCTATTTATGTGTCCCAAAATTGTCATTTGTCGTTTCCTGATTGTTTTTAACATTGAGCGTCCCACGTTGGCTTCATCAAGTGTTAACGACCCTATACTACGAATTTCAATGTTCATGAATACAGACTGTTGCTACCCCGTGGGCGGTGCCGCTGACTGTAGGCCATTCCCAAAGGGAGGGAAATTTCTCGTACATGCGCAGCGGACTTTTAAATTGGCTGATTCATCAATGTCACGCTCATAACTGTGCCTGGTCTACAACAGGGAACCGCTGCTGCTTTTTCTTTCCTAATCCTTACTATTGTAATTTTTCCTCTACTTCCTTTGTATGTTTACCACACTCTTGTGACCCACTATTTCCGGGGTGCCTTGATAGTCGAAGCAGACTTTGTGCTGTTGAAGGTAAAGAGGTGAGCAGAGTAAGTTTGATTCCCTGTAAGGACTTCTCTGTTGACATCGCACCCCTAGGCGCTCATAATACATGTATGACCTTATGCAGTTGCTTACTTACTTTACTTTTTACTTTTTTCTTCCGCTTGTACCCTGGGGTGTCGCGGGGAGACACAGGTGTCTGTCTGCAGCAAGTCGTGTGGCCTGTAGGAGGGACATCCCATGATCTTTAAGGGTGTCTGCCACAGATTCACTCCATCGTCGCCTTGGTCTTCCTCTGGCTCTCCATCCAGAATATTTAATGTTGTATGCTCTCAGAGCTGGATGGTTTGAGTGCATCCGCATGAGGTGTCCGAACTACTTGACCTTTTGTTTTTCAATGTGTGGTAGGACTGGTGTTGCTCCCACGGTGTCCCTTATGACTTCATTTTTAATTTTGTCTCTTCTTGTTTTGTTGACCGCTCTTCATAAGCATTTCATCTCGCATGTGACCAGTTTCCTCTCTAGGGCTTTTGTTAGAATCCATGTCTGGCACTGATATGTGAGCGTTGGAAGGAAAATGGCGTTGATGAGCTTCGCCTTGGTGCTCATGTGGATATTGGGATGTTTCAGGAGAGGGCCCAGTTGGTAGCTGACTGCGTTGGCTTTCTGGCATCTAGTCTCTATCTCTCGATCTAATTTTCCATTTTCTGTGAAAATGCTGCCCAAGTATTTGAATTCTCTGCTTTTTTTAGTTGGGATCCATTGATGTTGATATCCACTTTACCTGGTCTCCTGCTAATTTTCATGACTTCGGTCTTGCTTATACTGATCTTCATGTCATATTTTTCGCAGCTCGCATTTAGTTGGTTTATATGCTCCTGTAGCTGAGTCTTGTTGTTAATCATTGCCAGGTCATCTGCAAACATGAGTTCGTTGAGTGCCTCTGGGTCTGGATTGGCCTCTTTTGTTATCTGGTCCATGTAGATCACGAAGAGCAGAGGGGAGAGATTGCAGCCCTGTCTCACTCCGGATGTTTCTGGAAACCAGTCCGATGTTCCACTGGTAGTTCGGACAGCGCTTCTGCTGTTGGCATAGATAGCCTTGATGTTGTCTAGCAGTTGTCCCTTGATGTCGTACTAAGATCTTCCATAGCTTGTTTCTAATTACTCGATCAAAGGCTTTTTCTTGATCCACAAATACGAGGTGGAGATCTTTGTCGTATTCCAAAGCCCTCTCACACAGTTGTCGGAGTGCGAAGATTGCATCAGTGCACCCTCTTCCTTTTCTAAAGCCAAATTGGGCGTCACTGAGAAGATGTTCGGTTTTTGCGCGAGTACGTCGCTCTAGGATTTTTGCATACATTTTCCCCACATGGCTGAGAAGAGATATGCCTCTATAGGTGTTGCAGTCTTTCTTGCTGCCCTTTTTCTTCCATATTGGCACCACTATCGCATGTTGCCAGTCTACAGGCACTTTTCTTTCTTTCCATGCTTTTTGGAAGATGATTGTAAGCCAATGTATTCCGGTTTCGCCGCATGCAAGGATGGCTTCGGTTGTGATGCCATCGTCTCCAGCTGCCTTGTTCTTTGGACTAGTTTTCAGTGCTTCTCTCACTTCACTCTCCAGGATGGTAGGTTCTGAGTGCTCAGGGTAGTTGGCGGTGAATGGGCACTGTGTGTTTTGTGCCTGTACTCCTGATGGGTTTAGTAGTTCTTGAAAATATTCTTCCCATCTTTTTATTATTTCTTTCTCTTCGTGCAGAGCTTCTCCATTAGTATCGTTGATGACAGTGTTGGGTACATAGGGTTCGTCTCTCGTTTTCATTGTCTTTACCTTCTTGTAGAACTCTCTTGGAGAGGTCTTGCAGATTTCACTTAGTTTTTCGCCTTACTGGGTCCATGACTTTTCTTTTGATGTTATTACGACTTTCTTACTGTGTCTTCTTGCAAGTCTATATTTAATGTAGTCCTCTTCGTTTTTTTGACTTGACCCATACATTATACAGTCTCTTTTTTTCCTTGATAGCATCTTTAACTTCTTCGTTCCACCAGGCTGTTGCTTTTCTGTGTTTTCCTCTTGTTTTTATTTGGTACCACAGACTTCTTTCATTGTGTCCAGGAGAGTTGTTTTGAAGGTATCCCAAGCTTCCTCTACGGTTAGTATTGTAGAGTTGATAGAGCCTAGTTTTTCATTTAACGTGCTTCTGGTCTGAGCCTGCACCTGATCATCTTCAAGTTTATGCATATTTAGTCTCTCTTGCTGTCTTTTATGTTTTTTGGGTTTTCTTTCTTTCTTGGTGGTCAAAGTTGTGATGATTGGCCTGTGGTCTGTGTCCAGGCCTGCATTGGGGATGGCTCTTGAGTCTGTGATTGTGATCCGCATTCGTGTTCTCGTTAATATGAAGTCGATCTGTGATGAGACCATGATGTTGTTCCATCTGTACCAGGTGTAGATCTGAGAGGCTCTGTGCTGGAAGAAGGTGTTAGTGGTGAATAAGTCGTGCTCTGCACACAGTTCCAGTACATGGTTGCCGTTATAATTGCATGGTGTTCTGTGGTCACTGTGTGGACCCAGGTGTTTTGTCCACGGTGTTCTTCTCTCTCCGACTCTTCCGTTGAAGTCTCCCATTACATAAAGGTCTTCCTCGTCTGGGATGTTGCTAATTAAGTCCGAGAGTTGTTCGAAGAAAGAGTCCTTTTCTTCGTCTGAGTAGGAGTCGTTACACGGTGCATACACCTGAATGTAGTTTGTGGTCTTTTTGCCCTCTCTAATGCTGATTTTGATGAGTCTTTCAGAAATGAAGTCCGTATTCAATATTTCCTTTGCTTTGTCAGGGTGTATGATGAAACCCACACCGTGTTCAGCTCTTTGTTCTTTTCTTACCCCACTCCAAATGAGGACAAAGTTAGAGTGAATCTCTTTTGTGCCTGTCCCTTTTTTCCTGATGTCTGTAATGCCCATGATGGAGATCTTGTTCTGGGTCATGAACTCCACTATCTCAGGTTCTTTATTTGTCAAGCTGCAAATGTTTCAGGTTCCTATTTTTTCATTTTTTCTTGATCGTTGTCCATTTTTCTCGCCAGGTCGTTTTCCGTTTTGATCAGTCCGTTTGTGTCTCCTTATGTTTTCTTGAGCAATGTTTATATCCACTGCCGGCCTGCTAAGCCAGTCGCAGTTTCACCAGAGCCCCGTTGGCCAGCAACGTTTCGGGATGACCCGGGTCGGCCTTCACGGCTAGCGTAACGCCTCAGTGACATAAAGTCACACCGTACTTCACCCAGATCCAGCTATCCCCTACTTTGTCCTGTTTCCATCTCCCACGGCGTGGACGAGGGGTGGGACTTCGAGCGCCGAAAAACCTCTACTAAAATTAAAAGACTGTTGCTTGCATTCCAGTGGCTTTACTTCCACATATCGAGTACATATTATATAATAAGCTTATATATACAAAGGTCTAGTATAATTAAATGACTACTGATCCTGAGGCAAATCAGATCAGCATGAAATTTGACTTAATTTTCCACGTAACGGTAGGCTATTCGCCTAAGGTTTGCTTCTACAGATTAGTGCACAACTTCAATTTTCTACAGTGCATTTAATGTATGTCTTTGTTGGTGTTTAAATGTATAAGCTATCAATAATAATATACTAGTCAACTTCGGGAGAATGGCTGTTTTTGTGTGGTTGTTTTTTTTCTTAGAAAAATAAAGACACTTAACTTTAAAGCTGTTTTCCTCAAATACACACTTTCGTGACTTGTCTTATAAAACTTCCATAGATTTACCTAAAAATGTTTATAACATCTGAAAAAAAATAATAAAAGCTGATTCAAAATTGAAAACACACGCGCGCGCACACACACACACACTCACACGCACACACACACACACACACACACACACACACACACACACACACACACACACATGACTACCTAATATAGCAGGCTATCTCAAATTTACTTCGATAATTGCCGACATACTTGCCGTTTGTTTTTGCTTTTGTTTTTGTTTTTCAGGGATATACACAAATTATACATATGTGTACCATTGTTACACTTCTTAATACTGTCTGTTGAGAAATCAGCTTGGAAAAAAGATTGAAGTGGACACATTGTGCTCTTGTAGGCTCATTGCGAATTGAATCTTCTCCTTTAGGGATTTACATGAATTCTATCCTAAAGACAGCGAGGTCGCACTTCAGTAGGATCTTGGGCAACAGACTGCATAGCTTCTTTAATTTGTATGACTTTGAAAGAACACAGTCGTAGGCCGACCAATCTGCAAAAATCCAAAGCTTGAACTTTCGTGTGAAGTGAAAACTGGAGATATGGCTGCCTTAACTCTGGACGAAGCGGGCACATAATAATATACATTATTATGGTACAATGTATTACCCCACCCGCTTCAGCAGATCAAAGGCAATGTCGTGCCGCACATTTCAAACCATCATACACGAATTAGAAACACAAAGTTGCATGTCACAGAGAGCATGTTGTTGCCTGTCTTTTAAAGTTTCAAAATAAAGAAAACAGAATTTAAGAATCATGCACATATATCCTTTACTATGAATAACGAAGTCATCGGTACCGTACGCCTCTTTTTCAGTAAAGTGTCCCAAAACAGCTCATCTTCAGGCATTGACGACTGATTAGAATGTGCGTCCTCGATGAGTTTAATTTGGGTGTGTTTTTAGATACCTTTCTTTTTGTAAATTCCACTGAGATCCATAGCCTTTAAGTAGTATACTTATTTGAAAGGTTCAATATTATAATGTTTCCACCGTTCTGTCCAGTTAACTGGCCCCTCTCTCCATCCCAAAACCATTGAAATCTAATGGTCAACCCATATACAAATTGAAACAGACAATTAGCCAGCACATGTAGTTTTGTTCAAAACGTATTAGATCTACTAATTTTAAATTCATGTAGAATCGACTTTTCTTAAAAATCTATAACAAAAACCTTGGTCCGTCAGAATTACTTTTTTACACAGACCTTTTGTTTCGTAGCGATGCTTTCTCCCAGACTACTTTTAACTTTATCAAGAAGGGGAACAACCCTCAGCTCAACTTTCCAACCCAAGTGCTTGCGCGTCGTTCCTGAAACGAAAACAAGTGGTGTAGCCTATAAAAGCAGACAGTGAGGAGATAGATCTAGATCTAGATCTAGTGGCTTTTGATTCAGGCGAGATTGTAAACAAACTGTGAACATTGTTGTGCCCTTTGTGGAGTCAAATAGTCATCATCAATGGGTTCTTCGAAGAAACATAAGGATAAGGACCGGGAGGGAAAGAAAAAAAGAAAGCATCGCTCGAGATCCAGGTCAAGATCAAGAGAAAGAAAAAGAAGACATCGAGACAGAAGCCGTACTCCAACGGACAACAGGGACCGAACCTCGGGAGGAGCCTCAATCGATGCTGATGTTGAATTCCTACACAGAGACGATGACTACCGTGAGGACTCACGTTATGACAACAGGAATAGGAGTGAGATGTCTTACGACTATCAGCAGGCACCACAGGAGAGTACGCAGCAAACAGGTGATTACCATACACCCCTCTGACTCAGATTCACTGAGCTCTTGCAGGGTTTCCCTCGCCAATTGACTAGATCTAGATCTAGATCTAATCTAGATAATCTATGTCTAGATATAGATTTGGCCGTGTTTTGTTGGGGGTTTTTTTTTAGGCCACCTCTATTCTCACCCCGGGTACGAATAGCGCAGGTGAGTCTTTTGGCTATTCTCACCCGGTGGGCGTTCACCTTTATGAAAGTGGCTATTCTCACCCGCCCGGAAGTTCTCGCAAGATCTACTCCTCCCCTCTTCTCTCTCTCTCTCTGTCTCTTTCTGAATACTGTCTATCGGTGAGGACGATCAAATTGACCGAAACAAAGTTAAAAAATGATGTTAAAACACAAAAGTAAATTAATTTGGTTGTCTACAAAGATGCTACGGCTATTTAACTTTTCGAATCGAGCCGAACTACGCGGGTCGCCATTTTGTTTTGTTCTCTCTCTTTCTCTCTCTCACTCTCTCTCTCCACTGCCCACAGACAAAATTGTACGCTTTTAGTAGGCTACAAGTAGGCCTACAGTTGTAATGGAATGTTTGTTCACAGCACAGAATTCTACAATTTTTCTGTTATCACAGTGTAGAATTCTGTGGTTTTGGGTGAACGCAAAATTTGTTGGCCTAGATCTAGGCTATAACGGTGAACGCGCACCGGGTGAGAATTGCCAAAAGACTCGCCTGCACTATTCTCATCCCGGGTGAGAATAGAGGTGGCCTCACCGTTAAAGCCTAGGCTAGTAGTAGGCCAACCAGTGAAGCGTTCACCCTGAACCACAGAATTCTACACTGTGATAACAGAATTATAGAATTCTGTGCTGTGAACAAACGTTCTAGATCTATTACTACTGTTAGTGTTAGCCTAAAAGTGTGCAATTTTGTCTGTGGGCAGTGGAGAGAGAGAGAGGAGTAGCAAGAGAACTTCTGGGCAAAACAAAATGGCGACCCGCGTAGTTCGGTTCGATTCGAAAAGTTAAATAGCCGTAGCATCTTTGTAGACAACCAAATTAATTTAGTTTTCTTGTTTAAAATCATTTTTTAATTAACTTTGTTTTGGTCAATTTGATCGTCCACACCAATAGACAGTATTCAGAAAGAGAGAGAGAGGGGAGGAGTAGATCTTGCGAGAACTTCCGGGCAAAAGAAAATGGCTACCCGCGTAGTTCGGCTCGATTCGAAAAGTTAATAAAATAGCCATAGCATCTTTGAAGACGATCAAATTAGCTTACTTTTGTGCTATAACGTAATTTTTTCTTGGCTTTTATCAATTTGATCATCCACACCGATAGACAGTATTCCAAAATGAGGAAAAACAGGTCTTGTTTCACACTGGGTGAGAATAGCCTACGCTGGCAAGTCTCACCCGGGGTGAGAGGTAGATCGTATTTCTATTCTCACCCCGGGTGAGAATAGCCACTTCCTTTTTTTAAATTTGTGTTATCGTTTTTATATAAACAATCTCAGCTATTCTCGTTCCTTAAATTTGGAGACTAGATCTAGATCTAGACGTCTAGATCTAGATTCTAGATCTAGTCGACTTGTGATGTCCCGGCCCAGGTGGCCGCAATTTTGGCAAAGTCAGTCAGGGAATCGCTAGATTGGGCACTTTTTCCCCAGTTTTGGCCCCAATAGTAGGCTAGGGGGGTTTCAGGGCAAGCCCCCTGACCTAATAAAAACATAGAGGCCTGCCCCCCTAAATTTTTTATCATAATTTGTTGTTTTGCAGATAGGCTTGATATCTCTCGCTCTCCGAGCATCAAACATAGCCTGTAATAGATCTAGATCAAGGCTCAAATAAGTGGGTGGAAACTGCCGAAAATGCGCCCAACAGGGCTGCCTAAATCTACCGATTTTTCCGGTAGATACCGATTTTTGGCCTGTTCTACCGACATACCGATAAAGTGTCCAAACTACCGGATTTTCGATGGGTGCTGAGAGAATAAAGAGAAAAAAATAACATTCTGCAGTGCTTCCATTCTTCTTTATTTTTACAGAAATCCGTACATTCTGAAATCTCCGTACTTGCCGCATCATCATATCAACTCCATGTGTTGAGAGAGAGAGAGAGAGAGAAAGATCAGCACTTTCCTCCGTAACTTGTCAGATATTTACAGCAACTCCTGGCCATAAGTTGTATTAGAAACTGCCAGATTGCGCATTTCGTACACTTGACCATTGTCTATCTGTACCGTTCGGTCGACAATAGTTTTTCACGTGCATATCGGCTGAAATCTGTCTACTCACGATATATAATCTTCCTCCTTCTTTTCATTCATTCTTTCTTTCTGTCTGTCTTCAGTTTTTTGCTACGGCTGGAAAATCTGTGCACTTAATTCATTTATCTAGAAAACAGAATTATGAATGTAGAAGGAAAATCGGTATCGAAGCAAAACATTCTAAAATCTGTCTTGGTCTAGAAAATTGGTCAGTGCCAAACGCTGGGGGACTGCGGGAATTTATTACCCGGGAATCTGAAAAAAAAATAGTTTAGACCCGCAAAAATGCACAAAGTCCTTGAAACCAAATCTGAAAAGGCCACCGAGTTCATATTTTACCGGTCGCGTTTTTTATATTACGTTCGGCTCTCCCCAGTCCCGGAGTACGTTTCACGCGAATGAGCGGCTATGGCGGCAGGCGGAACTGTAGGTGTAATACTGAGACTCCATCGGGAAAATCAAAATCTACTTTCGCTTTCGTTACTGCTCAGAAATGTCCGATGATAGTTCGTTAACGTTAGATTTACAGTTAATAAAAATTTGTAACCTGCAGTTTGTGCATAATAAAAAACACAGTGTAGCCCTAAAAATTAAATCGATATTCTCACTGATGTCACTATAATGACAAAAAAAGGGAGAAAAAGAAAACACGCGTCCTCCGATTTCTCGACTGTCGGGCCCGTCATCGTGACCGGTCAATGAACCTGTGAGAGTTCGTGAGTACGCCGTGAGCAAAGGACCGGCTGGTGGTTGTTGGGGAAAACCTAATCAAAGTTCATTCAAAGTAGAAGTGTTGCAGGGCGTCGGAATTGAGGGGAGGCGTTTGACGCAATAAAGTCTACGGCAGCAGGAGAAGGCAAGAAACTGATGCTAAAATGAAAACGATAAGTGGAAGTGGTTTTGACATTCGACAGTCGAGTGCGTAAATGAGGGAACATTAGAGCATAGGCTTGATGATTGTATCTTCAAGGTTGGTGTTCCCGGATTTGTCGGATTTGTCCGTGATGACAAATTGAATAGTGGCAATGAGGAAATGCCATTTTCAACCCTCGGAAAGCTCAATGTTGGATGCCTGCATCATGATGGCTTGTTGCTGTTAAATACTGGTACTGTGATTTAGCATTTTGAAAAAAATCAATACTTAGTCCATGATGCAGTGATTCACTGATTGCCAGGTTTTCATCGTCACTACATCCCATGCTCTCTTTTATTTTCACTTTTTGCTCTGCCGTGAGCCTAACTATAAAGGTTTTATAAATAAGTTTTGTCTTGCATGCTTTTTAAAATCCGTGATTGCTGAAACCAAACATGGTTTTGGCAGTTGATGTTCTTCTTGCCTCTCTTCAGGCCCAGATCAGGATTCATTTTGTATTTTTAGGGTAAAACAAGTTAAAATTAATTGTCTGTCATACCTAAGTCACGAAGGACTTAACAGTGTCCTATGCTAATGTCGGGAAATATGTTTTAATATAGTTTCTATTGGTATGGGCTAGGGGTTTTGAAGTCAGTTTGGCAATCACCCTGCACTCTATTCCTGATTCAATACTGAATGATAGGTGCCTTGAACGATAGTCCATAAAATGATTTTAAAAAACAACGTCGCCTCATTACATTATTACATACACACTATTCATCGTAACTTGTGCACACCCATACGCCCCCTTCCTTCCCCACGCACATATATAAACACATGCGAGAGCATGGCAACATGCACACAGACACACACACACACACACACACACACACACACACATACACACACACACACACACACAAATGTGCATGCACAAACAAGTTTTCAAGATATAATTACCCAATAACACGGAAAGCAAACGCGTTCGATGGGGCAACAATCATCTCTTTTTTTTTCTTCTTTGTCTTTGTACTACCTGATTTTGGGCCAATCTACCTGAAAATAACCCTGATTCTACCTGAAATGGGAACTTTGAGGTAGGCAGCCCTGGCCCAATCTGGAGATTCCCTGACTGATTTTGCCGAAATGACCGCCTCCTGAGTTGGGACATCACAACTGGACTAGTGCCAAATTTACCGTCAATGTTGTACACAGACACACGCACAGCGCACATATGCACTTACACACAATCGCACACGCACAGCCCAAGCAGTCGGCAATGAAACTTAGATCTAGTGACGTAGCCATAGCTCTCCAAGCATCAAAGCCACGGTGAGATCTAGTCAACTGGTGAGCTCACAAGAATTGCTGAGATTGTATTAAAAAATACTGTATAAAATAAAAGATAACGCAAATTACTTTTTTTAAAGGCCGTCTTTATTCGGACTCGAGTCCGAATATGAAAAAATGTTAATCGGACTCGGGTCCGGAAAAAAGGGAGTGTCTTTGTTTTATATATCTAACGTTCAGTGCTTCCAATTTTCCGCCATTTTTTAGTTTCCCCCACACCTTTTCTGCCGATCCAATGCCCGCCGCCTCACTGATACGCCCCCCCTCCCCCACCCCCCATGTTTCCCACTTTCTTTGTTGTAGAAAAAGGTAAAATTGAAGATTAGCAGACCACCTGGCACCTGCATATTATGAGCTGTGTATTAAAAAAAAGACCGATTCGTTCAAATACACAAGCCTGTGTCATCTCGATTGTTTACCAAGAAAAAGTTGTGTTGCTGTGTAGAGCTGAGCATACGGCAACTTTTGATTCCATCGGCCAGCGCACAATTCATTACGTAGATCTACGTCAAGACTAGCTTATTATTGTAATAATGATCAGTTGCCGGGGGAAAAAAGACTGACGCTTATGCGACGTTTTATGCCCGGACCGATAGTGCCCCCCCCCCCCCCCCCCTCGACATGCACACAGCCACACGTGTGCAGGCCGCCCATCCGACCTCGACACACGCTAACGAGCCATCTTTAATTGCTTCTGATGACCTCTTGACAAATAAACATTTATTAGAAGCGCTATAACTTTTCAGGCCGGCCTCAAATTCATCATAAGATAAAAACTCGGCTCCTGCACAAAACGCCATTTTGCCCGAAGTGATACCGGTCTCTACCCAGCCTGAGGCGAGTCACGAGTGAGGCAGGACAGGAAGCCGGAGTCACGAGTCACAGGAAGTCAGAAGTGATGTCATGCTGGAGAAGAATCAGAGTCCGAATAACATTTTTTCATATTCGGACTCGAGTCCGAATAGTCATTTCGTTTTTTAAAAACAAACACGGAGAGATCTAGTCAACCGGCGGGAAAACCCCCGGAAGATGACAAAAATAGATGGCTGAACTACATCATCTATATTTAGGCCAATCACAGAGGTATGGTAGGTGCTCGCTGTAGCTTCATTTCAACTTAAGTTTCAGAAGGCGATTGATTGAAGTGAATTGACATTTTGAATTGTCATGCCATTGCTTGTTTGGTTCTGATCTGATTACTTGCACTATCCTGAGGGTGTTGGATTTAAAGTTAAAATTTCACCTCTTTTTTAAAAACAAAAATACATTTGTTGACTGTTTCTTTCTGTTTAGAGAGCTGAAAGTCACTTGCTTTTATTTATAAGCCTGTGGCTATGCGTACGGCCCTCCCTCCCGTACACATAGCCTCGTGGCTATGCGTACGGCCCTCATGCGTACGGACCTTAGATTTAGATAGAAGTAGAAGCACGCTCACGGCTTTGATAATCGCTCATCTGGACCGCGTCACTTTATCGATCGATATCTTGGCCAAGACGAAGATTGTGTATAACAAGATAGTTCCATCCTCTATAATTGAACCAATTTTAAAACTGACTTTGGGATCAGAGTTACCCTACTTGTGTGAAAATATAATACTATAATAAAAGTGAAAGTAACAAACTGTGCTATTCCTATTCTTCTTTTTCTGGTGAAAGGAAAGAGAGCTTCAAAACAAAGACTGCAGCGTCATCTGAACCAATGTGCAGACTTTCGCGGGCGCCTTTTTGGCTGAGTGAACTATTTTGTTATGGACGATCTTTGGCCAAGAGACGCTCTACGAGATCAAGATAACTTGCAAAGTCATTGGTCCCTATTTATAACTTGGACCTGTAATTTACTACATCATTTTCCATAAGGAATGCTGAAATTTTCCATTGAAAAAGGTCAGCGTCTATGCCTTTTATAGCTGCGTGCTTCCCAATCGAAGTAGGTCATCCCTATATATATATATAGGGCCTTAGCGCTTCTCGGGTAGCCCGGCTCACGCCCTTTATAAAGGGCCTGCGCGATTCCAGGGTTTAAGTTTGTCCACCTGTAGAGTCTTGTTTGATAGTTTATTTGCCGCCAACAGAGCCTACTTATTATATTATAGTGAAGTGGTGGAGAACATGGGACTTCGTCACTTTTCTTTTTTACGAAACCTCAAAGGAAAAAGTATCGGAATTTTTCTCTATATGGCTTTCTGGAAAGTATTAAAATATTTCCAAAGAATCTGGGGGGTGGGGGGGTTATAGTATATTTATACTAGAGAGTTTTAGATCCTTAAACTGTTAAAATCAATTTGCAAGGTTACAATGAATGTACTTCTTGTGTTTTCTTAGATGTGAAAAAAAAGTCTCAAGTCCATTTTTTTTATCCAGGTGCTCAAGAGCCGCGATCGTCAGGGGATGGTTCCAGTCTAAGTATCGAAGAAACCAAGTAAGTTTGGCAGTTTAATTTAACTCATGTTGGGGTTTTTTTTGAGTGTGTGTGATTTTTTTTGTTTTGTTTTAGGGAGTGGGGTGTATTTTTTTTTTAAATTCAGATTGAGGGTCTTCATCAGCAATGGCAGCCCATTCATTCAACTTCATCTGAATGAGTTGCCACCTGGTGATTACTGTATCTTCATTCTTATGCACTTAGTGGAAGTAAAAATGTATTCTGACTGCTGACATTGACTCTGACACACTTTCCGCACAAGAAATATAAACAAAGCTGTTAAATGTTAAGGTCATTATATATATGAGAAATGTTGGGTCTATAGCAAAAAAACACCGACAAATTTATTTAAATATTACTTTACCGGGTAGTTTGATTTTTCTAAACAGTGTCCACCCACGCAGCATGCAGAGCGCACAACACATGTCCCCACGGACCAGGATGCTGATGGGCTACATCAGTATTGTATATATAAGTAGCTCGGCAAAAAGTCCCCAACCATTTTGAAATTTTCAACATACTGAGAAAATTGAAAGCGATAATCACATGTTCTCCAAAAAAGGATTAGATTCGGAACTGAAAAAATTAGATCTAGCTCATTCATCACCTGCTTTCTCACCATGGCATAAGAATAGTGTAAAGCAGCACTCATGCTAGCCTGGTCTACTCTACATTTTTCAAAAAAGATTACTTTAATTGTTGTGTATACAAACTGAATTTCGACCTCAAAAGCCACACAAACCATTCAGAAAGGAAATTTAACTTTAACAAGTGCATAGAGGTCTAAAAGGAAATCATTGCTGCAACGTTTTTGTTGCTGTAGTGTATATGACACTGTCGCCAATTGGTGTCCCGTGCAGCATGGTATGGGTAAGGGACGGCTTGTTACCGTTGCCGGTCGGCGTCCGATGGGGGCAAAGTGTTAAACAACAAGTGTGATCAGCAGCCACAGTGATTGTCAGTTTGTGTGCCCAATTTGATGTCAAAACATGCTTGTTGGTATATTTATAATTATAATAAGGTATTTGAAAGGATTGCTGTTCATTTAATGGGCTGGTGTGCATTGTATAAGCTGTCAAATTTTTATTTTGTTTTGAAGCATTTAGAGCAAACAAGGAGTGGGTGCTAAAGAAATACTTTATATTATTATTATTACTGCATACTTGCTTTTATTAACTTTTGTTGTACTGTGGGTATCGCATTCAACGAGGTTGCCAGGACCGGCTTGTTGTCCTCGTTTGATCCGACCTCTCGTTGAACGTGACTAAGGCTAAAGAAAAGAAAGGAGACAAGTTATATATTACCCGATGTACCAATTCTAGTAATTAAAACAGCTGTTCCCCCTGATGACGAAAATCTCGAACAGCATCAGTGTGCGCATGTTTGAGCTGTGTTCTGACCATCATTTCTGCATTTTAAAATATTTTTTTTCCCTGAACACTTCTCGTGTGGAAACATACCCTCTCACATCTGGGCATAGATCTAAATAAAGTAAAGGCGGGAGCCTAGATTTTCTGATCAGGGGTAGAAAAGAAAATTGAAAAAAAAATGAAGGTCTCGATCTAGACCTCCCCATCCAGAGTTCATCCAGTTTCGCACAACCTGCATTGCGTTCGCACCCACCCCCTCCCATCCCTACCGTAGGCTAACCCTCGCCCATCCTCTTGGATTTGGCGCCCATTTAACAAGGCACACCAGATCTAGCAATACAATGCTTTTTGGAATCGAGGATGGGCCTTGTGCTTCGTGTGAGATAGAGAGAAAGGAGAAAATATCTTCACTTTTGGGGCCGTTAATTGCTTTTATTTGGTTATCGCGACATCGTTGAAAGCAACTTCGGTCTGTTTGCAACCTCGTTGGAGTTGATATTCATTTACAAAGATATATATAGAGGAAAAAATCGGGGATTAAAGATTGCCTCGTTGGAGCCGACTTCTCGTTGAATGTGACCTTGTTGAATGCGACACCCACTGTAGTCAAGCCTGCCATTATTGGAATCCTGTGAGAGAAAACAGCAGCAGGCCCAACAAGTTTTGGTCAGGTTGACCTACTCCCTGCATTTTTTTACTGACAGTCTGTGGCCAGCTTTTACAGGAAAGGGTTAAAATCGAACTTGGCAAATTCTGTAAGCTGTGTTAGTAATCTAAAATGGCAAATTATGTAAAGTGTGTTTGTGACACTGGAACGTAGTGAAAGCAAGGGGTGTAAAATTGACCGTTTCTTATTGTAAGGCACTCCTTGAAAGAGATGTTAAGTTGGTATTTGTGTAGGATAAAACTGAATTGTAATGCTCTTCCTGCTCTAAGCTAAGAGTAAATGATACATTTAGCGTAAACAAATTATTCATGCTGATACAGTAAAACCGCACATGTAGTTGGAGGGAGCCACTGGTTGGTCATACTTCTTTTTTACCCCTTTGTTGTTTCTGTTTGTCTTTCATTTTCACTCTTATAAATGACCTAATTGCCTTGATGCACTGTCTTTACAGGAACTGACTTGAGTAAAACTTTACCTTTTCTTTCATCAGTCGATTGAGAGCAAAACTTGGCTTGAAGCCTCTTGATGTACCAGAGAAAGGTAAGTTAAAAATTAAATTGGTTTTAACTGTTGTCGCTATTGTCATTTAAGTCAAGCTTCCATGTGTCTGCAACGTGCATATTTATAGATTATTTTCGTAGCAGGCATAGTCTTTCTTCTAAAACTATATCATCAGTCATATCATGTGTATAAATATAAATAGAAAAAAACCACTGGGGATGTTAGTCTATTTCTATTGTCAATAGAGCTCATTTGCTGACAGTTCTTATCATGAGCAATTCTGTTTCACCTTCAAGTTCAAGCATATCACTGCATTTTGTCTTACTGCAACTATATTTTAAAAAATGTAAACCATGTTTCAATTCGTTGCTTTGTTTTTGTAGCAGCAGTTGCATGTTTTCTTTGGCTTGCTTGTGATACACATCCTTTGATGGCATGGCATTGATTTTGTCATAAAATACCTTCAGCTGTAAAGGAAACTGTTGGTTGCAATTGCGTTTGAATTGTATCTGAAGTTTTTTAAGCATGTTTTGGCATGGAGATTTATGCACAGTTACGTATTTGTAATAACGATAATCATATTTTGTGCAGGAGAAGATGGAAAGCCTAAGAAGACAGATGCTGTTCATGCCCCACCCATCAATTTAGCACAGAAAAAGAAGACAGAAGCCCTCAAGGAGAAAATGACAAACAGGAAAACCCAGCGTGAAATTCAGTCAAAATTAGGGTAGGTTCTGCAAGTGCATTAATAGTTTTAGTTTGTATTTTCAGAATTTTGTCAAGATAACATGCCTGTATTGTAGACAATGCTTCATAAAAGCTCGGACGTGTTGGACAAATTATCTTGGCTTCAATTTGGCCATATCGATCATTTTTTCTGTCTGTTTCCATTTTAGATGTACTGAAGGCTTGGATGTTAGAAAAACTGAAAAATAATGATAGCACTATTCTTTTATCGCACGCACATACTGCATGCGCACGTACGCATGCACAGCGCACACAGACACACAAAAACACACACACACACACACACACACACACACACACACACACACACACACACACACACACACAAGCTCCTGCATCTGCATCATCTACTGAAATTCTAGTAAGTGATGCTTCAGCAACATATTAAATGTTGTCTACAGGCTGCCTTCTTTTATATATATATACATAAATTTTTAAAGTTTATTCCTTACCAGCACGCAGTTTCCACGAGAAGATTATTGCCCATCTTATTTATAATTAGTTTTTATTGGTATAACCACGATAGATGTAATGATGATAAGAAGACTCATGCTTTTGAATATTTTTGTAAGTTTCTGGTCAAATCTACTGATGACAAGTTGTTTGTTCACTTTTTGTGCCATCTTTTTTCAACAAACTTTGTTTCCCTACACCCCACAGAAAAGTGAAAGGTCTAGGGGAGAGCGACTCAGATGAAGACAATACCAGTTCCTGGGTAATCAAAAGTAGGAAACTGCAGAAAGAGAGAGATATGGCTGAGAAAAGAGTAAGGAACAGTTATCATTATGCTTTTGCCAGTATGTTCCTAAATTTAATGTAGTGATGTATTCTTATTGTATTTTGACCTATTTTTCTGTCTGAGGTGGTTTTCATAAATTTTCTTGACCATGGAAGAATACTTTATTTTGCTGTAAAATGCCTCAAGCATACGAAATAAATGTAAAATGGTTATACCATTGTCAATTGTCATTATGCTCGTTTGAACTATGCTTCATTTTGAAAGTTTTTTTTTACAAGTTGATCTTTACTCACAAGTTTCTTTTTGGTGAGGATCCATAGTGAATAGTCTCACTGAATGGGGTTTTTTTTTGCCAACAGGCTAAAATGCTTGAAGAAATGGATGAAGACTTTGGAATTGGTAATCTCGTTGAGCAAGAATTCCAGAAAGACACAAGAAAGGTTTGTCTTTTTACCATTTCTGTTCTTTTGTTCAATACTGTACAGACTATATATTATATTGTGTTGGATTCTCAATACAGGGATGGTGTCAGATTTGAGTGTCAAATTTGTTCTTCATGTTCTTCATGCATAACAAAACTCATTTCTCTGTTTGTCTGAAATCATGTGTAAAATGGAATGCTGAATTGCATGCTCAAGGGGTTTGAGCTACTCTTCAGTCTGATTGTGCCAAATTCTATGTTAATTTTAGAAAGCTTTTTTTTTTACCATTGCAACAAATATATTGAAATCAGCTTAGAAATAGTCTGTTACCTATTGTAGTAATAGCAATAATATTCTGTTTAGTACTTTCGTTAGTCTGATGAATTATGAACAAAAATAAATTATTTTGCATTTAGTGGCCTTAAAGTTAATGATCCTATTGTGCTCTCTCTCTCTCTGTCTCTCTCTTTCCCTCTCTCTCTCTCTCTCTGTGTCTCTCCCTTCCCCCCCCCCTCTCTCTCTCTCTCTCTCTCTCTCTCTCTCTCTCTCTCTCTCTCTCTCTCTCTCTCTCTCTCACACACACACACACACACACACACACACACACATGCGAAAGGTTAAATGCGAAGTCTCACTGTACACTATTGCCATAGTATTCTCATACAAAGTGTATCTATGTAGCTCTGCTCTTTGTTCAAATGAATTCACAATATCACTGTGGACATTTCGAGCTCCTAAAAACACGCCCATGTACAAAGAAGAGTATACACTGTAGCCATATTTATGTTTTTAATTTGTTTTTCCCAGGGTTACTCTTCACAGGACCTAAGTGGTTTAAAAGTTGAACATGGCCTGGACAAATTTACAGAAGGAAGAAATGTTATTCTCACTTTGAAAGACAGAGGTATGACTGGTATAAAATCTAATGCATATCAAAACAGAACTTTTGTATGAAGTTTTATTTTGAGCTTATTAAAGAAAATTGAACTAAGTATAAGAATCAAAACAAATTGTGTGGGCTTTATTTTTTAAAAAGATAATGATGGTAAGATGAGTCATATGTGAAACATTTTTATTTTTACTTATTTATTTTAGATACACTTATTTATCCGAATTGAGTATTTGCCTTGTTTCCTAAAGAAAAATGTTGAAGTTTAAGCTACAGACTTAATGTGATATGGTAGCTCTGCGATTTGCTTCCAGCAAATTCTAATTGTTCTAGAGGTTAATTTTCTCCTGTAACATAAGACGATAACAGAGATTGTTACTCAGAAGCTAGTTTTTTTTTTGTATTGATTTTATTTTTCTGAATAGAAAGCTATTTGGTCCTTGCACAATTTCTTTTTTTTTCCTTTCAGGTGTTCTTGATGAAGAGGAAGAGGGAGATGTACTTGTGAATGTGAACATTGAAGATGATGAAAAGGCAGAGAAAAATGTTGACAACAAAAAGAAGAAGCCAGACTACAAACCGTATGATGAACCACAGTATGATGAGTATGGAATGGTAAGTTTCTTATGGTAGATGAAAATGTTATAATCATAAACAACAGTAAACACAGCAAATTCTTTTTATTCTTTTATTAACAGGCACATATTTGATATACATGAAGTTTTTATTGCTCTCTCTCTCTCTCTCTCTCTCTCTCTCTCTCTCTCTCTCTCTGTCTCTCTCTCTCTCCCTCCCTCTGTCTCTCTCTCTCTCTCTCTCTCCCTCTCTCTTCCCCCCCCCTCTCTCTCTCTCTCTCTCCCTCTCTCTTCCCCCCCCCTCTCTCTCTCTCTCTCTCTCTCTCTCTCTCTCTCTCTCTCTCCCTCTCTCTCTCTCTCTTTCTAGCAAATTTGTTACGCCAGTTATTGTTATACGCATTCTTACTTTTTTAAAAATAGAACACTTCGTTTTGTTTTGAACAATTTCAACACAGATGACAGACATCTGTTCAAACAAAATGTACATTGTGTGTACATTATTATGAAAACAAACTTCTATAATGAATATAATGTTGTAACATTGCACAACATGGGCTTTCGGAAAATTATAGTCAAAATTTTTAGTAAAACTAACAAAAAAAAGAAAGATCTCTTTTTGCAATCGGAAAACTTGGTTTTAAGGGCAATGCATGCTTCTAGTTGTTGTCAAGGTAACCGTTGCTCAATACAAGCGTATACATCTATGACCCCACCACAGGGTGAACCCGATGATCTCAGTTATAGAATTCATATCACAATCAAGGACATTGGCAGCTTTCAATTTTTTTCTGATAACAAAAACGTTGAAAAGGTCTTTTGAATGTGACACTGTATGCTTCCAAAAAGAAGTTGTCTCATATTCTTCAAATGCTCGTCCTTCCTTTTCTTTGCAGATGAAGCCTTCCAACATGCTTGAGAAATATGATGAAGAGATAGATGGAGCAAAGAAAGAATCATTCACCTTAGGTTTGTACATCAGATTTTCTTACTTTGTTAGTATGGGCATTAATAGTTTTAGTATGTATTTTCAGAGTTTTTGTCAAGATAACATGCCTGTATTGTAGACAATGCTTCATAAAAGCTCGGACGTGTTGGACAAATTATCTCATTCTGAGATGCATGATTGTCCAATGATTTACATTGCAAGTATCCTTGCCTTTGAACCAGTTTCTAGGCCTGGGTTGCTGTAGAGTCAGGAATGGAGATTTATTTAGAGGTCTTGCCTTTTAGATAACTTGAGATATGTTGAAAGGGCCGTGGACTTTTTATACAGAATAACTTCATCTTTTTAAATTGTCACAACAAACACATTTTTAATCATACTGTCAGGGTTGAGTGCCATCTGTGGAAAATGTCTCAAGAACACTTCTTCAAATTCAAAACCTGAAAAAGTATGAAAACAATTCAGTTTTGAATATAAAAAAGTGTTGGGCTATTTGTTTTAATTCGTCACCTTTGGAGCTGATGATTTGGTCAAAGCAGGTTGCTTTCCAAGCTTTTCGTGTTCCTGCCTCTGCATACTCAGAGACTGTTCTGGAGTCCAGTGAAAAACAAAGTCCTATGCCTGTGTACTCCGCTCTTGCCGTGATGGAAGTCACAGAAAACACAATTGAAGTTGGTTGCTAATTCGTTCATCACAGAAATTAGCAACCACCTTCAACTTGGCTTTTTGCATGCTCTTGCAGGCTGTGATAAGTTTTTTCTTGACATTTTGATGACCTTCGAAGAAATATTTGGTGCAAGCACGAACAGCTTAATTTGCTGTACAGCTCCTTTTCACTCGCACATTTAACTGGCAGATAAGCTGGGCTACTGTTTTATTAACCACCATAGTAACCAGACTTAAGATGTATAGAGATACGTGCGCGCCATTTACTCAAGAATGTCCATCAGCCTGCCCACACTGAAATGGACCCTCATGAAGAGGGGCGAGGAAGCATGGAGCATCCCGTCTTCCAAAGACCCCATGTTCTAGATTCAAGTAATTCAATTTACTCAAGAAGAGAATTCAGTAAAGAAAACAGACAGGGGTGACTTATCTAAAAAGTGAATGAGGAAAAAAAAACTACCCACGCAAGTATTGATCGTCTCTTAAGCTTTTGTTTGGAAAAAAACATCTCAATTACTAAAATGATGGCATTTAGTTAGGCAACTTTGGAGGAGCTTATTTCAACCAAAAATTTGAAGATATGAAAACAATATTCTTAGAAAGCAATCTGAGAAATTAATGACTGCCCTTTAGAAAGACACATTAAACGTTAATTAAAAGCACTGTACTCTCCCAAAGTTGGACTCTTCATGTGTAAAACAAATCCATTGCTTTTGTTAATTGATGAAGAGTTTCTTCCAAGGAAACGTTTTGCCTGAAAAAAAAGAATTTTCCAAGACAGCTTTCAAAAGAGAAAGTAAATGCAATATTTATTAATAATAGTTACACAGTTTCTTGAAAATATTGTTTTGTGAATTTTACCTGAATATTCTTTATCTGGACTCTGATTAATGTTTGATAAAAATGAGAAATAACTAATTTGTAGTCATTCATTCAGATGATGGGGTTAATGTATTGGAATGTGCAGAACAGCTGGCAAAAGATTAAAACACTGTTGATGGTGCTGTGTAAGGCATGATAGAACCGAAAAGGGTTGCTAAACAGTCTTTGGTTTGTGTTAGCAGCTCCCTCCGGTTGTGTCACAGCCTGTGTTTTTCTTGAGCGGGTTCAGCAAAACCTTAAGAGAGATGTCCGTGAGGTGATGCCAAATCTAGCGTGTGAAGCAATAAGTAGAATTGAGATTTGGAAATGAAACTAGATGTGAATGTTACTCAGAAAAAAAGCGCCTTTTTGTTAATCAGACGCTCTATATGCATTCTGTTATTATTATTTTTATTATTATTTTGAGGGGTTTTTTTCTCTCTGTTTTTTCTAATGACAGGTTCAAGAGGCCATTATGATGCGTCCGAGGAAAAGCGGATGGCAGAAATCAGACAGCAATTGAGGGCTCAGGGTGTAAGTAGGAGGCTCTCTGTTTATTTTGAGATCACTGGCAAGAGCTGTTGCTTCTTCTTTTGTTACTTCAGCTAGGTCTTTGATTCGTAATATTTTTGGGGGGGTTTTTCAAGTGATAAGGAGAAGTTCACTTAATCTTTTGTAAAAAGGTAGAGTGAGGAAGATCTGTATCTGAATACACATCCACTTTTACTATTTTAGTTTTTTTATGCTTTTTTTTTTAAAAAAAATTTTAATTTAAATTTCTGATTAATCTGAAATATTTTAAAATATCCGTTTTTTTTAAGACAATATCTTTGAGCTTGCCCCCCTCCCCCGAAATGGTGTTTTGCAACTAATCTATACTGTCACTTGAGTTTTGTGGGGAGAATGTGTATATTTAGAGTGTGTTCACTTTGAACGGCACTTATTTTGCACATTTATTGTGTGGGCCCACTGAAATTTCTTCGTTTTCAGCCCCTTGCTGTTATTGTCACTGCTGTTGCACTCTCTTTAATGCGTTTTACTTTATTTGTCATTGTTCTCAATTTTTATGAAATGCCTCAGTTGCACTAAAAAGTTTAATGATGTATGGACTTGATGTCTCTTTATGAACAGTTGTCTCAAATATTTCCAGGAAAGTCTCCTTGGTCCTGCCCCAACTCTGGCTGTGGAATACATGACAAAGGAAGAAGTGGTACGTAATTTCCCTTCTCTGTAACTTTACTTGTAGTGTTTTATGGCGCTGTGGACACAGTAAAGATCATTTCGAAGAAAGGCTGCTTCGAACCTGCCTGTCAGGGTCAACCTGGGCTGAGGGGACTACTACACCCAAAGTTAGAGTCTAGAGCAGTTTATTTCCAAAGTTATGGAAGAAATGATTTTGGTTGAATTACGTGTACTATGTCCTTTAAATAATATTCGTGCCCTTTTCTTTTTATTGCAGCCTACTGACAATGCGTAGTGAAATATGAAGTGATTATTTAACCTGGAATTTTTAGCTCATTTGTCATCTATTAATTTTACAGAAAGCAGCCACTTTCAAAAAGACCAAAAAGAAAGTGAGGAAGATCAGAAAGAAGGATATTTTGAAAGCTGACGATTTGTTGCCTTTAGCCGAAGAAACAACTGCTTCAGAGGATTATGGGTCTAGGTAGGTGAAACTGATGTGGTCTCGATTGCAGAATTGCTATTCAAAGTTTCAAGCTTCATTTTAAAATATTTCTAAAATATTGATACATTTAAAAGTTCCTGTACTAAACTAGAAAAAGAAAATGCACTTTAAATACTTTCCTGTATTCAGGCCAATTAATATTTATTCTATACTTGCCACCTTTGCAATTACTTCTTGACTAAGCTTTCACAAAAAAGTTAACTGCTTAATTTAAACCATCTTTGGTTTATTCCAAAGTAAAGAAGGGTTTTTTTGGTTCCACTCTAATTAAGACTGCATACAGTTTGTATGTTTGATTATACTGAAATAGAAACATCTTTTAAATGAATGGTGAAATGAACTGGAAGAGTGGATTAGCTATCTAGAAGCAAAAAAATCTTTATTTCATTGAAAGGAACAGAAGTGTTATGGTTGTGAACATAGACATGACTCTGACTTGCGTGTTCTGTGTAACAGGGCTCGAGGTAGGGGCAAGTTAGATGTGAAGGAAGAAGACGAGAATGGGGAAAGTGAAGAGACCAAGATGAATGTGGATGAACCAGCGTTCAGTACTGACTTGGGGAGACTGCACGCGCCATCAACGTCTGCAGTGGTGAAGCCTAAAATTGACGACGGTAAGAGTTACCTTTAGAGTTCATTCTGTAGTTATTAGCTTATGGTGGCCTTCTGCAATGTTTAAGTAGGGAACAGATTTATTGTTTCCTGGGATAGGCTAGAGCTGTGGATTAAAGTTATGTATGTCAAATGGATTTTCCAAGTCCTTTACAAAAAGTGTGTCTCTTTTTGAGTTCCCTCTTTTTTCAAAATTTTTAGTATTAACAGTTTTTCAATTGGTACTTTCTGTCTGCTGTTTTGAAAGATACATAGAACAAAGTATAGTCTATAAAAACCTGACCAAAGTTTTGTAGAGAAATGAAAGAAGCCTTTTTGTAGCAAGTGTTATAAGATGAAACAATACCTTGAAATGTGAGTTGTAGAATACCATTCGGAAGGTATTGTTTAGACTGAAGCTTGAAATGTATGCAACTGGAAACGAAATGATAATAGAATATGGTTATGACTTACATCACTGGTTTAATACTCTTACAATATAACTGATGTGTTGAAAGTTTTTGTACAGGCAAAAATAATGCCTTTTAATTGAAATGCTGACAGAAGACACAAAAGTAAGCCCACAGTACGTTTAAATTATTTGTAGTGCATGCTGACACCTGATTTTTATTGAGGATCTGCAGAAAGAATTTGGCTATGGTTTTAGAACCAAAAAAAAAAAGAGTCAGTCGTTTTTAACCACTTACACTTTTAGAGAGCATATCACCATCGTTGTGATCCTTTAATTAATCTTCTGTGGCCTGTGATGCTGTGTAGATGACGTCATCGGACCCGAAGAAGATCTCACTGGAGTGGATCTGGAGGAAGAAGAGGCACAAAATGAGCTGCATGGAATGCTGGCCAAGGCTCGCAAGCTCAATCTGAAGAAAGAGAGGAAGTCTGCAGCACAGGTGAGCCCTGAGACTGATAAATTTCCACTTGATAAGTTGAACTCTGAAGTTGCTGAAAAGGGTATTCTGATATTAACCAGTAATTGGTAACTCTCTGTGCTGAGATTAAATTGTTCTTTGTGTGTGCATGTTTGTTGGAGTAAAGTGAAGAACACTGACATGATGACAATCATATCATTAAGTGCAGGGAAGAAAGTAAAACAGAGAGAGAGAAAGAACAGAGGGGGGGGGGGGGGGGGGGGTAAGACAGACCAGTGGCATCTTCCAACCACCCACTTTGATTTTTATGAATATAGTAAGAATGAAAAATTAATATCTGATGAACAGGACAGTGCATTAATGTTATTCATAATTTCACTTTGAGGACCAATTTTACATAATCATATAACCTCAATTTTTACCACCTAAACTTTATTTTGATTATCGGTTGCTCAAACGCTTTCTATGCCTAAAAATAGTAGTAGTAGTGAAGGGTTTTACGGCGCTCGCAACTGCTAAGGTCATATGAGCGCGCGTGCCTAAAAGTATTATAGAAACTTTACTTTCATTGTACTATAATAATTTTGCTATGAAATTTAGTAGCGCAGTAGTAACAAAGCTTATTAAATTTCTAATAATGAATAAGTAGTATCTTTTCAGTCTAATGATTTAAACAACTAAGATAAAGATAATCATTTGTGTGTGCTGATCTCAGTGACACTGTTGGTAGAAAAGTGAATACCTCGTACAGTACAAACTTATCCTCCCTTTCTTTCTGGATATTTTATCCTCAGCTCAGTGCTGTGACAAGAGGTTTAGAGTTCTGCTATCAAAACAAAATGTTTTGTGGCGTCTTGGGCCATCACTTCTAAAGTGAGCAGACATTTTTTTATCTGATTGTGGGACGTAATCCTCAGTATTACTTTCAGAGTTTTCAGAGATATCACTGAAAAGACTGCACTTTCAAACCTTGTAAGGAATCCGAACTGTAAAATGTAAAAGAAAACATTTGTCTGTTGATTTGAAAAAGATTTGTTGCAAAATTGGTTACAAACATAGCAACTCGCTCAAGGTCAGGATTAAAATCTTTGTGGTTTCCAAATTATTCTTTGTCTTTTTGAAATATTGCCTATCTTCTTGTTTTGGAGTCAAATATTCAGGGTTTCAGATGTCCTATGATTGTTTTGTGCTCAAAAGAGTGTTCAACTTTCAACAAAAATCACAAACCAAGCATGAGAGTTCCTCATATATTCTCTGCAGAGCGTTGAGCAGATGGCTGTGAAATCAGAGCCCAGTGACGAAGGAGGGACAGGAGCCAACATCATTCTTAACTCCACATCAGAGTTTTGCCGAAACCTGGGAGAGATCCCAACTTATGGCTTATCTGGGAACAGAGAAGAGGACAGGGATGAACTGTTGGTATGTCTTTGCTGAGAAATAGTATACCGGTTCAATAGTTTTGTCTACAAATTGACGGGACGGTGTGAGACTCCGCCATGCGCCAATTTGAAAAGTGACGAGTGATAGTGTGGGCAGTGGAAATGTATAAAACTATTAAAGCTCAAAGAGGCCCTATAAAATTGTGGACGTCTGGAAAAAGGTTGTAGGGAAGTTTCATTGTAAGAACATTGCATCTCACATTTCAGGCAAACGTGCACACACACACACACACACACACACACACACACACACACACACACACGCACACTCAAACACACATTGTAGGAGTATGTGCTGAAGAAAGATATGCATAAAACTTCAGGTATAGTGTTCTTGTGCTTAGACTTCTTTACGACCTTGCATGTGATTTACTCTTGCACGAAAGCAGAATGGCTGAAACAATACTAATAGAAGAAAGGTATTACGTTTTTTTATTTATGGTTAGGTTCTATTCATTGATAGTATGATTATCTGTTTTTAATATGGTTTGTGTTTTATTTTTATTTGGGGAGGTTTCCCAATCACTTTTGAACTTTTTCTCAGTATCACCTTGCAGTCTGTGACTATTTGGAACTTCAAATGCATATTGGTGACACATAAATGAGTTGCTTGCTTTTGCAATGCTTGAAGTGTTAAAGTTGAGAGGGGGGGGGGGGGGGGGCTAGTGGCATGTCTTTCTCATTTCTTTTAGGTTTTTGCAGAGCAATAAAATAAACAAATTATTTTCAGGACATGGAACTTGAACTGATGGAACAAAGAAGGAAAGAGGCAGAGCAGGAAGAGACAACTGGTGGCTGGAACGAGGTGGATATTGATGAAAACCCTGTGGATATCAAGGTAAAGTAGTACTCAGTGACCTCTTCTCTGCTTGTTTTTTGTTTTGTTTATACAATGTGTTTGTGGAAGGCTGAGTATTGTTTTAAGATTAGAGAAAAAAAACAAAAAAATTGTATTTATTCCTTTTAGGAGATTTATCTCACAATGATATTTACAAATGAATATGAATATAAATCATGTTATACATGTACATCATACAAATGATATTTGGATTGATAAATTTTCAGCTTACAAAAAGTAAGAGCTTACTGAATATAGCTTGTTGGTTGGTTTTGTTTTGTTTTATCTCTTTTTTAATTCTTTTCTGTAGTGATTGGTAGATTATTGCTTAAAACTCGGTTCTGAATAATACCTTTTCTATAAACTCAGTGATCTTGTGTTATATGGCACTCTATTCATCAGTTGTGTTATTATTCTACCTTCTGAGGGAGAGGAGTGTGTGTTTGATAAAATGTATCTTTTGTTTCACTATCTTTGACAATAACTTAAATGATGACATGATTAATGTTGGTAGTGCATATTTTGTTGTTTTTGGTTTGATTAACAAGATGTGCATTTGGAGGCTGAAGTGGCAGCTTATTAAGTAAACTTAATTCATGTTAGAGCTCAGTGTAGTGTGAATGTGGCCTCATTTGACTGCATTATTCATGAATATCTAATTAGATGCTTTGAATCGGGACGTCAGTCTGGACATCAGTCTGATACTGTATGACACAGCCTATGTTTTTGTTGGATTTGGCAGGTCAGACCATTAACTTTTGTTTGTTGGAAGATTACTGAGGATATCCAGGTTTTTTTGTTACCTGTTTTAAACACTAGGATTGTTTATTTGTTCTTTGTTCGCCTAGTGAGTGTTCGTCAATTGCTACTTTTTTCCGCTGTGTAGGCTGAGGAGACATCTGTACTGGAGGAAGAGCCCATTGCCACAGATGGTATCGGAGCTGCCCTCAAGCTTGCCATGAAGAAGGGTAAGTAGAGTGGGGGTGGGGGGGGGAGAGGAGTGGTAAGGATGAGGGTAGGATGTAGAGATGAAGGGATTGGGATGGGGGGGGGGTTCTGTTCTCTAGAAACTGCTGAACATATGGGATGATGATCCAGGCGGTTTCGTCTTCTTAGACACCTTAAGTGTCTCCGTTAGACACATGTCAGAATTTTTTTATGCTCATGTACAGTCAAGAATGCATGTAGTGAACATGGACATAGCAAACATGTTTCAGTCCTAATTTTTTTTTTTATACGTGTATTTTTTTTCTCTCCCAATTAGACCGTGTACATAGCAAAATTTGCTTCTAATGAGTTTCTGTGTCCCACTGGTTTTGCTCTGTACGTTCTAGAGTGTGTGTATTTTTAGGTTCCAGAAATCTTTTTGGTCCTGTTGAAACCTCTGCTCTGGAGTTCAGAAGCGCATCAACAGCATGATTATGATATATGATCAGACAGTACTTAACAACAGTCTCTTTAAATACAAAATGCAAAATTATAACGATTATCAGATTTTTAGATCAGGTATGATTACAATTTACAGTATATTTTTATCCTTTTTCCAGAAGTACTGTTTCAGCCTCAGTTGTATGAAGCCCGCTATCGTATAAATTTTTGTGTGTCTTTTGGGGCAAATGTTTTCCATCCTCTATCGGTATGTTTTTTATCATGAATTTGCAGTGCACATGAAATGGAAATACCAGAGGAGTGTTGTGTTTAAGGAATTTTTTTTTCTAGTGTGTTACCTAGTTAATATTCTTTGGCAAAGTCCTTTACAGGAGTTTATGTATTCATAGAAATATTGAATGTTCTAAACTTTTGTCATCAGACAATTTATGTCTGCTTGTTTGTATTTAACATCAATTTCCTTTTGCTTACTTTCTCATTTTCTTAAAATTTTCGCTTTTCGGTCCATCTCACTGTGGCTTTTCATTTATCTTGCTCTAGGGTACCTGGAGGATGAGGAGCCGAAGAAACTGTCCTCAGCCTCCAACTCAGTCCTGGAGCTCCAGGCACAGAACTACACCATTCAGGACAAACGATATGAGTAAGTTTCACCATCCTTTTCATGGTTGGTAAATCTAGAAGTTACCCCCCCTTCAACACCTCCCCCCCCCCCCCATACACACACATTTCAAAGTGTTTGATGTTGTGCGAGTGCTCAACACACTGGATCACAGTGGGTTTGCAGGTATGTCTTACAGGAACTGGAAGAAGTGGGGGGTGGGGGGGGTTCTTTTTTTTTATTTGAGTTTCATAACCCCTTTACTGTTGTATCAAAAGAAAGATCAAATATAGTTCAGGTTGACAATGAGATGATATCATATTTTTATCAGTATAATGCATGTTAGTCCTGAGGTTGATTCTGGACATGACATTGATCAGTTTGAATATTGTGACTCTTTATATACCAAAAGGACTAAAGAGAACTTCAGCTTTCTTTTGTTGCTCATATTTGAGTTTAGTAAGAATAGCTTTAATATTATGAAGTTAAGTACGTGTACTCAGTGTCTTCTGCATCCTTTATTTTTGGGAAAGAATACATACATGGGTTAAACTGAGTGGTTGTTGTTTTTTTTACAGAAAACTTTTTCTGTTTTTGATTTTTTTTAATTTTCTTTTTCATGTCTTGTGAAACTGTCCTGTTGGTATTCCAGTGTTCAAAACTGTTTTTTTGTTGTTGTTTTTTTGTTGCTTTTTTGTGACATGATACTGTCACCGAATGAACAGCTTTCAAACATACTATTTGTATTTTAACGTCTGTTCTGTTTTATGTCATACTTGTAGGAGATGACATATTACAAAAAGCGTGACATATGTCTATTCTATCAATTTCAGTGATTTAGACGAGAAAAATAGGAAGCGAGACCGTTACTCTGGAGGGATGGTTTCAGAGTTCAAAGAGAAAGACTTATACAAGCCGGACGTGAAACTTGACTACGTAGACGAGAGTGGCCGTATGTTGAGTCAGAAGGAGGCTTTCAGGCAGCTTAGTCACAGGTTCCATGGCAAAGGCTCCGGCAAGAAGAAGACAGAGAAGAGAGGCAAGAAAGTAGAGGAGGAGCTAGTAAGTCAACCATTGTGCCTATTTGTTTTGCTTTGGGGGGTTTTTTTATCTTTGAAAATTGGAGTTCTGCTACTTTTTCACTTTTCTTGCTAACCTACAGGTGTTATATTTCTGAGATTTCAGTGTGTTGGGAGAGTAGTTTGTTAGCCCTAAAATGCTTTAAATAATACTCTATAAAAGTTTCTTATCTTTCTCTGTGATTTGTATTTATAGGAAATTGTGGGTGGTTGGCGGGTGCTCGTCTGGTTTGGTCCTTTTTTTGCTATCAAACATCTATCGTCCTGATCTCTCCTCCTTCTGTTTTGTGTTTGTTACACTCTTGTAACACCTCTAATCTTCGGCACTTATATGACCTTATTGTGTTGCAAGTGCCGTAAAACTCTTACTAAAAAACTAAATTATTTGAGGAATTTTTAGTCTACTTACTTTACTTTTTTATGCCTGTGACAACTTGTAGAGTTGAGGGGAGAGCAAACGTCTTTCTCTTGTTTTTTGTATCGCCTGCATGATTATAAAATAATGTCGTTCTTGACCAATGTTTTTCTGACCCCCTCTATCCATCTTTTCCTTGGCCTGCTCTTTCCTCTGTTTCCGTCTGATTTCTTGTATGCTTTGTTAGTATACGTTCAAATCGCTACATATTGTTTACAGAAATGGAAAAGGTTTCTCAATTCACTTTTTGTATTGGGTACAGCGGTAAACTGTGTCATTTAGAATAAGATTGGTGTCCATATTTAAAACAGTATCCATGAACAATGCAGTCAGTGAAGGTAACCTGCCTGTTGCAGTGTTCCTTCTGTTTAGACTCATTTTAAAAATCTTAGACTGTTGAGGGATCTGTTCTCAATTCTGGTGTGTGTGTGTATGGTTTGTACTGCACCTTTACAGTGTTCTATCGCAGAGACACATGAATGTGGAGATCCTCTACTTGTGAAGTCAAATGGCTTAAAAATCAACTCAAATATTATTGACGTAATGATCAGCATACTCTTCCTTGTTTTTATGCCCTTGTAGGGTACAAGCTCATTTGTACCATGGCCAGCTTTATGGCTAGAAATGAACTGTTCTGACAACAGAGATAATACTAAATATGCTTCTGTGTGGGTATGGTTGTCTGCTAGAGAATGTGTGAAGGTATAAGCCACTGTATATATATATATAAACGTACACTTGCATGCTTGCATCCTGTGGCTTTCCTTTTGTATACACCCTTTTGATAAATTGCCAGTCCAGATCCAGATGAACAATATATGTATTTTTGTGTCTCCAGCTGATGAAGCAGATGAGCTCGACAGACACTCCCCTCAACACTCTCAGTTTGCTTCAGGACAAGCAGCGATCGGAGAAATCACCCTACATTGTGCTCAGTGGCAGCAAAGGTTTCACGTCGTAAGTGCTAAACCTGTAACCTTTCACTGCC